GTCGATGCTTTCTGTCTTCCCCTCTCCCTTCCACTCTCACTGAGAAGAATAGCCATTCTTCATAGCTTTGCGCATCTAACAGTCACGTTTTGTAAATCGTGTACAAAGAATCTCCCCCTCCCCCTTCCCCCCCCTCCCTGTCTGCAGAGCCGTGTTTCTCGCTACATGACCCTTAGCGGGTAACTAGCCGTAACGGGGTGCACCCAGGGCTGGGCCTGAGATGCCGGCGCCTCCTTTGGCCGAGGAGGAGGGGCCCTGTGGGCAGGGCTGAGGGTGAGGGCGGCTCCAGGCAAGGCTTGGGGGCAGCGCTGGGCACCACAGCCACTTCTTATCAGTCTGTCCACCTAATGACATATTTTTATAAAATATACTTTATTGATTTTTTACAGAGAGGAAGGGAGAGGGATAGCGAGTTAGAAACATCGATGAGAGAGAAACATCAATCAGCTGCCTCCTGCACACCCCCAATTGGGGATGTGCCCGCAGCCAAGGCACATGCCCCTGAGCAGATTCGAACCTGGGACCCTTCAGTCCGCAGGCTGACGCTCTATCCACTGAGCCAAACCGGTTAGGGCTCAACAAAATATTTAAAAATTTTTTTTACTGAGGAAGGGAGAGGGAGAGAGAGATGGAAACACCAGTGATGAGAGAGAGTCCTGGATCAGCTGCCTCCTGCATGCCCCCGACTGGGGATCGCAACCCGGGCCTGTGGCCTGATGGGGAATGGAACCTGTGACCTCCTGGTTCGTAGGTCGACGCTCAACCCCTGAGCCACGCCGGCCGGGCCAGTGGGTTAACCGTGAACACCACGTCCCGGGGGCGTGCGTCATGGTGTCGCCTGGCTCCCTCCCCTCCCCGCAGAGCTCTGGGAGCCACGTGCTTATCCGTGGAAGCCTTTCATTTTCTGAGGCCCCCCCGCCCCAGGGCTGCGCTGGGCCGTCTGCCCCTGGGGTCTCAGGGCCTCGCCGTCTCCCAGCTCTCTCCCAACACAGCCCAGGTGTTCGACAGCCTGACGCCGGAGCTGCAGGACGTGGTCACCCACGTGCGACTCACTATCTGCCCGGACGGGGGCGTCGGCCGCCTGCGGCTCCGGGGCTTCCCCAGCTCCATCTGCCTCCTGCGGCCGCGGGACAAGCCCATGATGAGGTTCTCGGTGAAGGCGGGGTTCCGGTCCAGCCTGTAGCCCCGCAGCCGCCGGCCGACACAGTGACCGAGTCGCCGTCTTTGAAGTGTTTTCAGCACCTGCACCTTCAGAAGCTTCCGGCAATTAATCTCAGATCGGTAGCATTCCCGGCGGTGGAATAAAGTGGTCACTCGCACATGCTGTCGGGGCGATGCTGCAGGAACAGTGGGCGGGGGAGGCCTGGCCAGAGGGCGATGGGCCCCGTCTGCAAGGACGACGTCCCCGTTTGACGCCGCGGGACGTTGACAGTGTCCGCACACCGTTGGTTCTGTGCGGGCCCAGCGGCGGGACAGCCCGGCACGGCCGTCGGCATCTGTCACTAAACCGTTTCTACAAACGGAACCGGACACCAGGTCTCCTGGATACTTTGTTTCAGACGCTCAGTTTCACTGTTGCTAATTGATGACTCGTGGCGTCTGTGGACACCAGTGGCCGGGTGCCCCCGCGACGTGGCTGGAGCGTGGAGCCAGCCCTGCGGAGTGATGGGCAGATGGCAGACGGTTCCCTGGGAACTGCCCCACTGGGGCCCTTAGGAGGAGGGGGAGGGGGAGGGGAGGGGAGGATGAAGATTCGGCAAACAGAGAAGTCTGGGGCACGGACCTTACTCCCCCAAAGCCATGCGTGTGGGAGGTGGGTCACTCAGGGCGGGTGCCTTGACCCTTGATCCGGGGAGCGGTACCCAGATGCACAGCACCAGGTGCAGCCCAATTGGAGGCCCTCCGTCCACTCGGAGCAGCCGGGAGCTGGTGGCCCTGCCCGTCCCAGGCTCGGCTCCGGGCGTTAGGCTGCGGGCGCCATGAGTGATGAAAGCGGGGTGACACCCAGACAGGCGGCTGGATAATGTTGATTTATTAGTACAGTAGAATCCTACTAATTAGCACTAATGACAGGGGAATCCATTGTGGATTATAGAATTTCACAAATTAGCCAGTGCATGAATAAACAATAAAATCACTCCGTCTCCAGCGGCAGCTGTGTCGTGTCCTGTTCTCTTCCCTCCCGTGAGCTCTTCGCAGCTGCCTCACCCCGAGGAGCTGTGCTCCTGTCTGCTTCACCCCCACCTTCTGCGTGGGAACCACTCCTCACAACGGCCACGTTTTTAAAAATACTTCTATCGACATCAGAGAGGAAGGGGGAGGGAGGGACACGGCAACATCAGTGAAGAGAGAGAATCGCCGACTGCTGCCTCCTGCACAGGCCCCACTGCGGGCCGAGCCCGAAACCACAGGAGTCCGGCTGGACCGGAACCGAGACCTCCTGGTTCACAGGTCGACGCTCAGCCACTGAGCCGCGCCCTTTGACCCCACGATGGGCCGCTGATTCTATTTCGGACGCCTGTCCGGTTTCTTTTGTTTCTGGACTAAAAAGGACAATTGTGCAGTAAAGAGGGACAGCAAGGAACCCGGGAAACCCGTCTGGGCGAACGGAGACCTGGGTGCACTGTTCCCCGTGGGGGGGTGAGCTGCAGCGTGGAGGCAGGTTCGGGGTGCGTTTCATTCTCCGACGCACCTGCCGCCCTGTGTGCCTGAGCGAAGGTTACAGCCACACAGCGGGCGTGGCCTGCGGCTCTTGCTATTCCTGCCGCGTGTGGAGGGTTAATGTTTAAAGCCGGCGTGTAGGTAACCCCCGGGGAGAGCGCGTCTCTCCGTTAAACGGCCCTGAGGAGCCCGGTCCCGGGAAGGAGGCTGCCACCTGGGAAAGGTTCTCGGTCACTCGGTGATTTGGGAAAACGCATCAACAATGAAGACGTAGACGCAGAAGGGCGTGCGTGAGGTGACAATACATTTTCAGAATCTTGGGTTTTTATCTGGTTTGCAGCCTGGGGCACGGAGCACACCGTGGCGAGCACACACAGGACTTTGGGAGATTTATCTTCTCAGGCACAAATAGCGGGCACATCTGAGAGGACAAAGACGTGGACACCGTCCTCTGTGTTTAACGGTGATTTCCGCAGACCTCGGGGTTTAGTCACAGGTGCTGGAGGGACTTCCCTGTGCCGATTCCTCACACGGACGAGGGTGGTGATTCCTGTCTGTGAACGAGGGCCTCCCCACCCCCTTAGCTTTCCAGCCGTCCCAGCGGATGAAGGAGGGTCTGACCTCCGCCCAGACCGGCTACAAGGACCCAAGCGTGACGACACTGGACACAGACTGAGTGCCGGCGTGCTGGGCCACCCGGGGCTCAGCCGGTCCCTTCCCAACAGGGCGAGTAGAGAGGGAGACGCCCTCCAGACCCCGGACAGGAGGGACCTGCTGTGTTTTTAAAAAATATATATTTTTAGTGATTTCAGAGAGGAAGAGAGAGAGAGGGAGAAACATCAGTGACGAGAGAGAACCATTGATCGGCTGCCTCCCGCACGCCCCACATGGGATGGAGCCCTAAACCTGGGCCTGTGCCCTGACCAGGAATCCAACCGTGACCTCCTGGTTCATAGGTCGACGCTCAACCACTGAGCCATGCCGGCCGGGCTGTCACTTTTTAAGAGGTTGGTTTTGGTGGGTTAATTTCTATAATGTCCAGCGTAACATCTATCATGTTCTAGTTTTCCAGGAAACATCTGTTGAACAACAAGGTACCTATTATTACACTAGAGGCCTGGTGCATGAATTCGTACACCTGTGGGGTCCTTCGGCCTGGCCTGTGGGATCAGGCTGAAACCAGCTCTCTGACATCCCCCAAGGGGTCCCGGATTGTGAGAGGGCGCAGGCCAGGCTGAGGACCCCACGTGTGCATGATGGGGGCTGGGAAGGGACATAGGAGGTTGGCCAGCCAGGGAGGGACCACGGGAGGGCTCCAGGGCGTGTCAAGCCTGTCTTCCTCAGTCCTGATCGGCCGGACCACAGCAGCAAGTGAACCTACTGGTCAGAGCATCTGCCCCCTGGTGGTCACTGCACGTTATAGCAAACGGCTGATCGGCCTTAGCATATCATTAGCATATTACACTTTGATTGGTTGATCAGACGACCAGATGACCCGACACTTAGCATATTAGGCTTTTATTATGTAAGATTTTCTATGTTGATAGTTGGATTGAGAGGGTGCAATGGGTGACTTGACCACTAGGTGGCACTATTGCTCCACCGATGGAGTAAGCGGTTTTTTTTTGTTTTTTTTTTTTCTCTGCACCTGGTTGGGACAAAAGCCTCCCGGGCTGCCCCAGGTGCAGGCATTTCTCTGGGAAAAGGTTCCCTCCTCCGGGCAGGCTCGGAGCTGATGTGGGTTCCTTCCCGTGTCCTTTCCCCAGAAGAAGGAACAACGCTGCCACCAGTTATGCCGGGGCCCAGGGACCCCGAGCGTCCTCAGCATCATCCTCGGCCCTCGAAGCTCCTTGGAGAACCGACGGGCAGGACGCCAGCCCGGGAGGGAGGCCGCGCACGGGGCCCAGGGGCTTGGTGGCTGCAGGCCGCACGGTCTCCTCGGTCACCCCTCGATCACTCCCACGTGCAGGTAATCATCCCGGGCGCTGACGGCGCGGCCACATCTGGAGCCCAAACAGCAAAGGGTGGGGGTGCCGGCAGGCGGCCCTGAGTCACGTGCTCCCTGCCCAGCAAAGGCTGCCCCTCGGTCGGAGAAGAGGAGGGTGTCTGGCCCCCGAGGGAGTGCCGCCAGGGCTCAGGGAAAGGCCTGCGCTGGGCACAGAGTCGGGGTGCGGGGGGTCGGTCCTCGGCACCCCGGGGCCTCCCCCGACTCCCCACCTGGGCCTCAGGGCCCCACGTGTGTTTTCCTCGCACTTTCCACCCCTTGCGTGGCCTCAAGGGACGGAGGGCGGCGAGTGTCCCGCATCGAATTCCGGAGACAACGCACCGGCTCCCTCGGCTGCCTCGGTTCCCTGGGAAACGGCCTGGAAAGTGTTTTCTTCTAACGAATCTAATATGTCACTCACATCGTTGCCAGCAGCAGTTACTCTTTTTTTTAAGATTAAATCTTTTTAAAAATATTTTTTATTGATTTCAGAGAGTAAGGGGAGGGAGAGGGGGACAGAAACATCACTGGTGAGAGAGAGTCATGAACCGGCTGCCTCCCGCACGCCCCCACTGGGCATCGAGCCCTCAACACGGGCCTGAGCCCTGACGGGAATTGAACCCTGACCTCCTGGTTCATAGGTCGACGCTCAACCTCTGAGCCAGGCCGGCCGGGCAGTTTCAAGTTTTACTTTTTAAAATTAACTTTTTTTATTTTTTTCACTGTGGTCTATGCTACATTTAAAAACATCATTTTTCAAAAATAATTTTTGAATAAAAAATAATTGCACCGGCCGGGCAATCCCTTTACCTTTCTCACCCCCACGCCCGTCTCCTCTGCAGAGAAAGCCGGTCTCTGTGTTTATGTGTCTGTTTCTGTTTTGTCTGCTCATTTATATTATTACTTTCTCAGTTTCACGTGGAGCTTGTCTTTCTCTGTCTGACTTATTTAACTTGCACCACATCCTCTGGGCCAGGGGTCCTCAAACTACGGCCCGCGGGCCACATGCAAACACAAATCTTGTATTTGTTCCCGTTTTGTTTTTTTACTTCAAAATAAGATATGTGCCATGTGCATAGGAATTTGTTCATAGTTTTTTTTAAACTACAGTCCGGCCTCCAGCGGTCTGAGGGACAGTGAGCTGGCCCCTGTTTAAACAGTTTGAGGACCGCAGCTCTAGGTCCACCCATGCTGTTGCGAATGATGTGAGTGCGTTCTCTTCCCCGGCCGAGTAACATTCCACGGGGCGCGCGGCATCTGCTCCTCCTACCGCGTCCTCGCACGCATCCCATCGGCACCTCATCTCGGCTCCTGCCCCGGAGCCCCGTACGTGGGGCGCCAGCGCGCTCATGTGTGTGGGTTACCACACGCACGCATCTCATTAAATGTGGCCATTTTCTCTTGTTACTGTGTCTCCTGTCGATTTAATTAATAGACCAGCAAAAAGAACCTTGAAAAGTAGAGGGAAGGGTTTTCCCCCGCATACAAGTGTTTACTTCCTAGGAATTGGTTCATTTTGCCAGAATATCTAATCATTTTATTTTCTCAGCTCAAATATAGGAAATCAGTTAAATTAGCAATTTTGATACATAGCAGTTTCTTACCTTATTCTTTGGGTAGAAAAGATATTAAAAGAAAAGAAAAATAGCCCGGCCAGTGTGGCTCAGTGGTTGAGCATCGACCTAGGAACCAGGAGGTCAGGGTTCGATTCCCGGTCAGGGCACAGGCCTGGGCTGTGGCTCGATCCCCAGTGGGGGGCGTGCAGGAGGCCGCCGGTCCGTGATTCTCTCATCATCGATGTTTCTCTCTCCCTCTCCCTCTCCCTTCCCCTCTGACATCAACACAAACAGGTAAAATACAAAGAAGTGAAGCAGCCGGTGGCCTCTCAAGTGTGGTCGCCGACATGAACGGAAACGGCCCCTGAGCCCTCGGACAGGTGCCCGGGGCTGGTCCGAGCCGTGCGAGCGGACAGGTGCCCGGGGCTGGTCCGAGCTGTGTGGGCGGACAGGTGCCCGGGGCTGGTCCGAGCCGTGCGAGCGGACAGGTGCCCGGGGCTGGTCTGAGCTGTGTG